TACAGATTTTGAGTTTGATGAAGAATGCCACAAGTCTTGGACCTTGCTGAAGGATGCTCTGGTATCTGCGCCAATAGTTCAAGCTCCAAACTGGGATCACCCATTTGAGATTATGTGTGATGCATCTGACTATGCAGTAGGAGCAGTGCTTGGCCAAAAGATAGACAAGAAACTCAATGTCATCTACTATGCAAGCAAGACTATGGATGATGCTCAGTGCAAGTATGCAACCACAGAGAAGGAACTCCTTGCCATAGTCTTTGCCTTTGAGAAAGTTTCGAAGCTATATAGTTGGGTCCAAGGTGATTGTGCACACTGACCATGCTGCCCTTAGGCACATCTTTCGCTAAGAAAGATACAAAGCCAAGACTTCTCAGATGGATCCTTTTGCTTCAAGAGTTTGACATAGAAGTTGTGGACAAAAAGGGAGTAGAAAATGGAGTTGCTGATCATCTCTCTAGGATGCGAGTTGAAGACATGATCCCCATCAATGATTCTATGCCTGAAGAACAGCTTATGGCAATCATGATCTTGAAGGAGAGTTTTGATGAGAAAGTCAGGCTGGAAGAAGTTAAGGCTCTGCGTGATGAGAATTTGCCATGGTATGCTGATATAGTGAACTTCATGGTGTCCGGAGAAGTCCCTAGTAGTTTTGATGCTTACAAGAGGAAGAAATTCTTCAAGGATGCTAGGCATTACTATTGGGATGAGCCTTACTTGTACAAGAGAGGACCAGACAGCATTTACAGGAGATGCATTGCTGAAGAGGATGTACAAGGAGTTCTAGAGCATTGCCATGGGTCAGCTTATGGAGGTCACTTTGCTACATTCAAAACAGCAACTAAGGTTCTGCAATCTGGGTTGTGGTGGCCTACCTTGTTTAAAGATGCAGCAAGCTTACATCGCAAAGTGTGATCCATGCCAAAGGAAAGGAGTATCACCAAGAGAGATGAAATGCCACTAAACCCAATTCTGGAAGTTGAGATCTTTGATGTATGGGGAATAGACTTCATGGGACCTTTCAAGCCTTCCTCAAACGGGCACAACTACATTTTGGTTGCTGTGGACTATGTGTCCAAATGGATTGAAGCCATCCCCTGCCCAGCCTGTGATGCTAAGGTTGTTATCAAACTGTTCAGAACCATCATCTTTCCAAGATATGGCATCCCAAGGGTTGTTATTTCGGATGGAGGTTCCCATTTCATCAACAAGGTGTTTGAGAAGTTGATGAAGAGTTATGGAGTCAAGCACAAGGTCGCTACACCTTACCACCCTCAAACCAGTGGGCAAGTTGAAGGTCTCCAATAGACAGATAAAGGCCATATTGAGAAGACTGTGAGCTTCACTAGGAAAGGATTGGTCAACAAGACTTGATGAAGCACTTTGGGCTTATAGAACAGCTTACAAAACCCCCATTGGAAGGTCTCCTTTCAACTTGCTGTATGGAAAGGATTGCCACTTACCTGTGGAGGTAGATACAAGGCTTTATGGGCAGTAAAGATGCTGAACTTTGATATAAAGGCAGCACAAGAGAGAAGAGTAATGAACTTGTTTGAGTTGGAGGAAATCAGAATGAATGCCTATGAGAACTCCTGATCTATAAGATGAGAACCAAGGCAGCCCATGACAAACTGATTCGCCTTAAGACTTCAAGGTTGGGGACAGTGTGCTCTTGTATAACTCCAAGCTAAGGTTGTTTCCCGGGAAGCTAAGGTCAAAGTGGGCGGGACCATTCAAGATCACGAAGTTTTGCCCTATGGATCCCTCACTTACTCAATCAAGAGGGGAAGGAATTCACAGTGAATGGACATAGATGCAAGCCATATCTAGGAATGACCCCCACAGAGGAGATCATCACTCCTCTAGAAGATCCAACCCCGGCCTAAAAGGGGTAAGGTCAAGCTATGAGACCTAAAACAAGCTCACTTGGGAGGAATTCCCATGTCTATCTTGTACATATTATCTTTATCCTTTTATCTCTGTTTTTCTTGGCTAAGTCTTACAGGAGCAGGTTTTAGGAAGGAAATGGCAACTCGAGGCACAACTCGATCGAGTCAAGAGCAAGCTCGATCGAGCGAGGCAACCCAGTCGAGTGGAGTGCTCCTGATGGCCGTCTCCCATCTCCAGACCACGACCTGCCTCCCAGTTCTTTGGGGGGCACTGAGGTATCCAAACACCAACCCTTGTATATACCATTTCATATTTTCTTGCATTTGTTTTGTTTTTCTTGGTTTTGCCCTCTTGAATCTTTCACTAAATTTTTCTCACACAAGGGACTGTGTGATTTAAGTTTGGGGGAGGGTTCAAGAGATGATTTAACCTTGTTTTCTTTGTTCTTAGTTTTTCATTTATCTTTTGCATAGAAAAACCAAAAAAATCATAAAATTTTCAAAAAATCCAAAAATATTTTCATCTTTTTGCATTCATATTTGTTAGACTTGTTTAGGATTGCATTTTTCACTTGCATTGTTGATTTGACTTTGAAAACTTGTCCATCTTTTGCGATTTCTTGAGTGCCCTGTTTTTAGATTCTCTTGTGCATTAGGGTGAGATTGATTGAGCAGCAAGAACCATGTTTATCTTGATCATATCACTGCATGCACATCTCATTCAACCATTGCTGTGATTTGATGCATTTCCCTATCTATTTGAACCATAACTTGATCTTTAATTACCAATGCTTGCATTTGATTTCAACTCATGGCTACCACATACATATCTGGACATTCTTTACCATTTTCATATCCCTTTTGCTTGTCCAGATAGCTGATCTCTATCTTTGAGACAGTTACCACACCTTAAACCTAAGCCTTTTCATTTCAAACCCCATATTATCTCTTGTGCGAATGTGAGAACCTTTCTTGGCTTTGCTTAGCATAAGGTGTTGTGTTTAAACCGGCAGGGGCAGTAGTTCTAGTTGTCTAGTTCTCTTGGGATTGTTTTCAGGCTAAGTTTGGGGGTGCCAACTCGAGCTCGATCGAGTTGGGTGTAAAAACCAGAAAAGTGGTAAAAGTTGGGAAAAACCCAAAGGAAAAAGAGTTTAGTTAAGTCCAGGGAGTTGGCAGTGTTAAAAAGGGTCTAGTAAAGGTTTGGGAAGTTAAAAAAGGAAGTAAAAAGGGTTCTAAGTAGAATGAAAAGAAGGCAAAGCCTCAAGTGTCAAAAAGAAAAGAAAAGTTCCCTAAGTGTTTAGAAAATCCCAAACCGCTAGATGTTAGCTCAACAATATCACTGTAAAGTATCGACATCCTATCCCTAAACTTGATGATATGCTTGATGAGTTGCATGGTTCTAGCATTTTCTCTAAAATTGATTTAAAAAGTGGTTATCATCATATTAGGATGAAAGAAGGTGATGAATGGAAAACTGCATTTAAAACTAAACATGATCATCCATCTTCTTGCCACAACGCCCAAGTCCATTCCATCTTGTTTTCATTCCATCCTTCATCATTTCATCATCCAATCTTGCTTCAAACTGCCGATCTATAATCAGGGGTCTATCAACTTGATATCCATCCATCCAGCTGGAGTTGACCTCCTCTTGTCTAATTGGACCCCGGCTGCACATAGGATTGGTGTAATGACCCCTCCACCACTAAGCTTTCTTCCTTGTTGAAACCGAGTGCTATAGGCGGTTATCTTCTAGGAGAGTAGCTGCTCAAGGAGGGGCATGAGATTCTCTGCGTGGATCCTATCTCCTCTGATCTTCTTCCCATCCTTTGTGCGTCAGATGATGGGCTTAATCCCCATGTCAAGGAGTTTCACTTCTCCCTCATTGATTGTACCAGTGGCCTTCCTTGCAAAGAAGGTGTTGGTAAGGGCCTTGTGTACATATCTTAGCATAGGGCTCCTTATCTGAGCAGCCTTGGATCTTGAAGAGGAGAATCCTGGCTCAGCAATTGTAGCCCACACTCTTTGGAGCACATTCTCCTTGATATCCCAATGGGTTCCTTCTCCATAAGCGAAACCAAAGAGGATCTCCAGCTGCCTGAAGGTGATCACCTTCCTTTCTCCTCTTGCCAAGAATGTTATCCATCCCCAGGTCCAACTCAGCTCGATCGAACTCACCATACTTGTGAAACCTCATCGACGCCAAAAAGTCACAAGTGAGCTCCTTGTATGACTCCATGCGATGAGAGAAGAATTTTCCCAAGCGCATGTTCTTGAGGACTAACTCCACATACTCAAAGATCCCAAGAGCCCTCATTGTGTCATCATGTGGGTATTTGGTCTCCACAAAGTCCATGGAAAAGAGAGCATTGTAGTGCTCTTGGTACATAGGGAGCTCATGCTCCTCTTCCTCTGACTCAGCCTCCTCCATGGGTACATTCTCATTGCTCTCATGCTCACTTCCTTCTATCTCTTGATTAACCTCTTCCCTTCTTCATTTGAGGAGTCATCACTTTCTCCCTTTCCATGGTTCAACCCAATCTCGAATTCTCCCAATTCACTCTCACTGCTGATTGGGTCATTAGAGTTGGAACCACTGGTTCGGTCAGCTCGACACCCAGCTCGATCGAGTCAAAAAACTCGAGTGACAAACTCGATCGAGCTAAGTGAAAACAGAGTATAACCGAACCTAATCAAGTATTAAGAGCTGGAAAGGATGCTAATCAATCAAATTGAACCAAGAACATCAAGAATGGAACAATAAGCAATTCTAGTGAAAAAAAGCATCCTAACCAATACCAAACTCAAATTCAAATTCAAGCACATGCAACAAGTTTAAAGGCAAAACAGAGGTGAGGTGAGGCAAATTCACAAAACTATAGAGAAGGATATGAAAGCAATTACTCAAAACAAGTCCACAAGGGACACATGCAATCAAAAATCAAAGAGAAAACAAGCAATAAGGAATCGAGATGAAGGATTCAAGGGTTTTAGGGTTCATACCTTGCTTGAATGATGAATTGAAACAGTAGCTAGAACAAAGCAAACAAGATAAGAACAAGAGAAATCGCAAAAACTTAAGAGAGAAAGAGGAATTCGATTTTTCTTGTGGTGAAGAGAGAGATGGATGATTTTCAGAAAATTTAGAGTGTGGGAGAGAGGGAGAAGGGGTTCGATCGAGTTATGGGGAAGAGGGAGTGTTTGAGATGTGTGGTTGAGATTAAAAGGTGAATTAAAGAGGGGACAAAAGCTAGGGTTTTTCTGATCGAATTTAGGGAAGTGGGGGACCAAAATCACTTGTGGGACCCACTCCCTTGACCAAGAAAACGGTTGAATTTGAAATTCAAAAACTTACCTTGGTCGAGTTGTGGAACTCGATCGAGTTGCCCTGGTTTCTAGCTCGATCGATCGTCGAGCTGTCGGTCGAGCTGGCTCCTTTGTCACCTAAACTTAACTTATTGAAAGGTTAAAGACACAAAATAGATAGAGAAATTGCATAAAAGTATGTACAAGGATAAACATGGGACTTCCTCCCAAGTGAGCTTGTTTAAGGTCCCATAGCTTGACCTTTACCTCTTAGGCATTGGTTGAGCTAGTCCCACCATCAAGGGTGATAGTGAGGACTTGAGACAGAAGCTCCTTTAGCTTGGTTGGGTCCCTGGACTGTTCTGAAGTCACCAAGGCCTTGGCTCTAGAGAATGGCCTTGATCTCCCCTTGTACCTTATCTTGTACTCAATCTTCCCATTTTCAAACTTGGTGGGGAACAAGGTCATTGTGAGCTGAGATGGCTTGACTGAAGGGGCCTGAGCTGGTGGATCCTTTCTTTTTCTCCTGGTCTTGCCTTAGAGGCTGCATCCTCCCCTTCTTTTAGAGCCCTTCCTAGTGGCTCATCAAACAAAGCTTGAAGGCTCTCTTCATCAAGCACACAAGGGGCTTCTCTCAGCTCGTGGTCTATCAGATCGTGGTTTCTCAACTCTAGCCCTCTCAAGACGTGGCTTCTCAATCCTTGGTCCTCTCTCATCCTTATCCTTCCCAACTCTTGGTTCTTTGTCAACCCTTTCCTTCACAACCTTTGTAGCTCCATGACTCTTAGAACTGAGAGTGGTACTGTCAATTGTGGCACAAAAGTCTGAACCTCTAGGCTGCAAGCGATATGACACCAAACTATTCACCTTGTGAAGGATCACTTCTTGCTTGTGAAAGTCTATTGAAGCGCCAACTGTACTAAGGAAAGGGGTTCCCAATAGCAGAGGTAGATCCTTCTCTTCTTCCATTTCCATCACAGTGAGATCAGTTTGGATGATGCATTCTCCAATTTTCAAGTGATAGTTCTTGAACACTCCAAGAGGAGACTTAGAAGTTGCATCTCCAAACATGATTGAAGTAGTAGGGCGCTGCAAGGCTCCAGCAATGCCTAGCTTCTCTGCCATGAGAGAGAGATCAGATTGATGCTTGCTCCAGAATCCACTAAGGCATTGTCAATCTCAAGATGCCCAAGTGTGCAAGGGAGAGTGAATTTCCCTTGATCCTTGACCTTTGGTAGGAAAGTGGGTGAAGTAAGCAGGTTGAACTGATGAGTAGACTCTAGGACCTCTGAAACTTTATCACTGTTGGCCAGAACATCCTTGACCATTTGCATTTGATCAAATGCCTCACTCATGCTATCCATAGAGGCAACTCAATTCCAATCCCACTGAGATCTCTTCTGAACTTGTGAATCACTTCCTTGTGACCTTGACTAAGTAGGCGAGACGAGGAAGCGGCAACTGGTTGGTAAGGATCAAGCAAAACGGTTTGAGGGAGAAGAGGTCGGACTCGATCGAGCTAGAGTTCGACTCGATCGATCGAGCTTGTTGTGCGAGCTCAACTGGTGAAGTGTGAAGGCCATCAGTAGGAGCCTCAGCAGCAACAATCTCTTCATCATTCAGCAGTAAACAAAATCTTCAATGACTTCTCTTGATCCTCTTCTTCAACAAGTCCTTCTTGAGTGAAGATGACCTTGCACTGTTCCTTGGGGTTCTGAATAGCTTTACCAGGTAGTTGTCCTTGCTTTGTAGCAGCAGCAACAGAAGAAGCATGATTCTCCAGAGAGTAAACCCTTGTGTTGAGATTCTCGATCTTGGAGTTATTTCAGCTAGCTTCTTGCTTGTGTCCACTACACCATCAGCTTGCCCTTGAAGCAGTTGCTTTAGCATTGCCTTGAGCTCATTCTCTTGTGAAGGTGCAGGCTGGGGTGGTTGGTGGGGAAAGCCTGGTGGTATTCATTTGTTGTCCAGGGAAAAGTCCTTGGGTCCTTGGTAATTGTTCTTTTGACCATACCCATGTTGTGGCTTGACTCGATCGAGCTGCTTGTTGTTGAGGATAGACTTGGTCCTGAGGGTTAGCAACATCAGTGTTGCGGTATGACATGGCAGGGTTGGACTTGTAATTATAGTATCCTTTGTTGTAACCTCCTTGCCCATTGCTCATGTAGCACACCTCAGCAAATTGTGTATCCTCCCCTTCTTGGACTGGTTCCATCTCCTCAGCAGACACAAAGTTGACTTTCTTCATTGTGGACTGAGCTAGATCAGCTTATCCAACTTCTCATTCAATGCCTTAACATCTTTTCTCAACTTTTCGTCTGACTCGATCGAGTGGTGGGTCGAGCTCCGGTTGGTGCGATCATACTCTTCTCCATAGCTTCCATTGAGTTAGCTATGTTCTCCACAAGTTGCCAGCCATCATCTACATCCTGGTTGAGGAAGTTCCCATTGCTGGCTGTGTCCAACATCCTCTATAAAGAGTAGAGAGTAGTGATTCATTGTTGAATCCATGGTGTGGGCACTGACTTGTGTAGCCTTTGAACCTCTCCCAAGCCTCTGCGAATGTCTCATTGTTTCGCTGGATGAAGCTGGATATCTCTCCTCTAAGCTTGGCTGTGCGACCGGTGGAGAAAAACTTAGCAAGAAAGGCCTTCTTGCATTCATCCCAAGTGGTGATTGTGCCATGGGGCAAGCTCTTCTCCCATTGGTGAGCTTTGTCAGCTAGAGACATAGGAAAGAGTCTCAGCTTGATGGCATCTTCAGAGACACCATTGATCTTTGTCAAATCACAAAGCCTATCAAACTCATCAAGGTGGTCAATGGGGTCTTCACTTGGCAATCCATGGAACATCTTGTTCTGACAAGGTTGATCATTCCCAGCTTGATCTCAAAGTTGTGGTTCTGCACTGGTGGTGGAACAATCCCTTGTCTCTGTTGGTGGCGGTTTGGAGCATCTCCTTGACCAATCGGTCGAGTTTGCCTAGCTCGACCGAGTCCATTGCCCAAAGGGTTTCCATTCCCCTCTGGTACATCCATTGTATCAGCAACAAGCACCTCAGGTTCCTCTTGTACCCTCTGTGACCTCTGAACCCTCTTTCTACCCGTTGTGAAGTCTAGCTCGACCAAGTCTTCTGTTGACCGACTCGATCGAGTTCGCATACACCTGCAAAAAGAGACAAAAACCCAGCAGTACAATAGAACAGGGGTGGTATAGCTTGATCGTCCAAGTGTTTGAAACTCAAATGCAACAAAATTAACCCAAATCGGCAACGGCGCCAAATTGATGATAGGATTTGTGTGTGGTGTGAAGATATGATATGAAATGTGGTGGAATGCAACAGTGGTATATAAGATGAGGTGGTGGATGCAAACACAAACACAATCAACAATTCCCTTAACCATCATAGTCATTATAGTATAAGGGTATCAATCCAAAATGGGAAATTGTCACTCTATGAGAATATGAAAAACCAAGGAAGTCAAGCAAGCAGTAAATGATAGGGGTAACACTAACAACCTAAATGAAATGCAGCAGTAAAGCAAGCAGCTCGACCAAGGACTCGAGTCGAGTGGGAACAGAGTACCGAGCTCGATCGAGTTTAGGGTCGAGTTGAAGTAAAAAGCGATAAAGGCAGCGAACTTTAACAAGCTAATGCGAGAATTAGGGTCTAAGACAGGGTTTTACAATCAGAGGAAGCTATACTTAATCAATCTTGCTCTTAAAACTTGTATCAAGGTATCTCTTGATATTGAGCTTCTCAATGCCTAGCTAACCCTTTCCCAAGGTGAAAGCTATCAACCAAGGATGATCTCAGAAACAGGGGGTTAGCCAGTGAGAATCAAGCCTTGGAGGCCATAGGATCATTGCCCAAACTAATCCATCCAACCCCTATGAACTCCATTTCGAGAGCAAGAGTTATTGGAGCTCTTAGTGGACCTTTTCCAGCGATTTCCATCACTTCCATGTGGAGAATCGCCTAAGGACATACAAGCCAGGGGTAGTGGTCATGTAGCCTTAAGTTTGTCCAAAAGAGAGAGATTTCTAGATTAAGAACATAAGCAAGAAGGATTAAGCATAAAACCTCTAATCTATCCCATCTCAAACCCTAATGGGTAACTACTCACTACACATGAATGTAAACACAAGCAAATGCAATGAAAGACATCATAAGAAAGAGGAGATAAAATAAACAACTTTTATTGAAATAAGCAAGTGCAAATACAAAAAGATATCCAGGATCTAGGATTCAAGAAGCAAGAGCTTCAAGAACACAAAGATGGGATTAGGTTGCTAAAAAGTAAAAGACAATAAATTAAAAGAAAGCTAAAACAAAAGTAATCTAAAGCTTTGGTTTTTTCGTGGCTTAGCCTTTAAATACAAGAGGATTAGGTTTAGGGTCAAAGGAAAGTCAAGGGGGAAGCAACATTTTTCGGGTTTGACTGTTGACTTCTCAGCTCGATCGAGTTGAAGCTTGGCCGGTCGAGTTGAGGAACTCGACCGGTTGGTCGAGTGGTGGTCGAGCTGGTCTTCAAGATGGCTTCCTCCTTCTTCCTTTGCGTATCCAGTTGAGCTGCGTCCATGCACCAAGTCCTTCCATGCTCCTCACGTCCCATATGCTCCAAATGCTCCAAAAGACCTATTTCAAAGGACCAAACATGCATATGTATGCAAATGCAACCTAAAACTACTATGAATGCATAAGAAGAGAAAAGGAACAAGATATGATGCTAATGGATGCTAAAACTATGCAAAAGATGCATAAAAGATGTACTAAAACTATGTAAAATGCAAGTACATCAATACTCTTGAGGTGAAGAGGATGAGGCACTAGAAGACTCAATGATTTGGACTCTTGAAGTTAATGACTCAATTTTGGAGTTTATCTCAACCAACTTGTGGTTCATTTCCAGTGAACCTTTGGCTTGCCCTTGTAAGAGTTGTTGGAGCATTTCCTTCATATCCCAATCTTGACTTGGTTGGGTATGATTAGACCTTTAGATGAAGCCTGGTGGGACACTAGGTTGTTGTTGCGGCAAGGTGGTTGGATAGCTAGTGTATGTCCCTTGTTGGCCATAGTTGACTTGATGTCCTTGCTGAGGATTCCTATAGCCTCCTTGTCTATTTTGAATATAGCAAACCTCATGTTGGGTCTCCTCCCCTTCCTGATCCTTAACTAGAGTTTTTCCAGAGACAGAATTGACATGCTTAGCAGGGAATTGAGCCAGGATCAGTTTGTCCAACTTTGAATTGAGTGCAAGCATGTCTTTTCTCATCTGTGCTTCCAGCTCGATCGAGTGCACGGTCGAGCTCCAGTCTGTACTGTCATAATGCTCTCCATAGCATTCAGTTGAAATGGCCATGTTTTCCACAAGCTGCCAACCATCATCAACATTCTGATTAAGGAAGTTCCCATTGCTGGCTGTGTCCAACATCTCTCTATATCTTGCCAAACAACCTCTATAAAAAGTAGATAGCAAAGACTCATTGTTGAAGCCATGATGGGGGCACTGACTTGTGTACCCTTTGAACCTCTCCCAAGCCTCAGCAAAAGTCTCATTGTTCCTCTGTATGAAGCTCGAGATCTCACTCCTTAGCTTGGCTGTGCGACCGGTGGAGATTGTGCCATGGGGCAAGTTCTTCTCCCATTGGTGAGCTTTGTCAGCAAGAGACATGGGGAAGAGTCTCAGCTTGATGGCATCTTCAGAGATACCATTGATCAATGTCAAATCACATAACCTATCAAGCTCATCAAGGTGATCAATGGGGTCTTCACTTGGCAATCCATGGAACATCTTGTTCTGCACAAGGTTGATCATTCCCAGCTTGATCTCAAAGTTGTGGTTCTGAACAGGTGGTGGGACAATCCCTTGTCTTTGTTGATGGCGGTTTGGAGCATCTCCTAGACCAATCGGTCGAGGTTGCCTAGCTCGACCGAGTCCATTGCCCAAAGGGTTTCCATTACCCTCTGGTACATCCATTGTATCAGTAACAAGCACCTCAGGTTCCTCTTGTACCCTCTGAGTTATCTGACTTCTCTTTCTACCTGTGGTGAAATCTAGCTCGACCAAGTCTTATGTTGTTCGACTCGATCGAGTTCGCATATACCTACAAAAAGAATCAAAAACCCAGCAATACAAAGAACATGGGTGGGATAGCTTGATCGTCCAAGTGTATTGGAAACTCAAATGCAACAATATTCAACCGAAATGGCAACGGCGCCAAATTGATGATAGGATTTTTGTATGTGATGTGATGATATGGTATGAAATGTAAATGAGGTGGAATGCAACATTGGTATATGAAGATGAGGTGGTATGATGCAAAACACAATCACAATCAATCAATTCCCCTTAACCATCATAGTCATTGAAGTATAAGGGGTATCAATCCATAAGGGTGAAATTATTACTCTATGAGGATATGCAATTACAAGAAATTCAAGCAGACAGTAAGTAAGATGATAGTACCTACTGGATATGCAATCACAAGAAACTAATCCATCCAACCCCTATGAACCCCATTTCGAGAGCAAGAGTTATTGGAGCTCTTAGTGGACCTTTTCCAACGATTTCCATCATTTCCATGTGGAGAATCGCCTAATGACATACAAGTCAGGGGTAGTGGTCATGTAGCTGATATATCCATATCTTTCATGTTTTTATCAAGGTTTTCACTATGTTTTTAATACAAATAATGTGGTTTTTAAGCCCAAGAGGTAGTTTTCTTGTATATTCTGGTTTTGAGCATCATTCAGGTCAAAATAGCAAAGAAGAGTCAAAATGGAGCAAAAAGAGTCAAATCACCAAGTTCCCAAGTCTAGAGCACCAAATCTACATTTCTCGCTAAAGACCAAACCGGAGCATCCGAAGTACGACCGCATATTCATGCCTTCCCGACGTCCAAAAGTCATGATTCTTATATGGAAAGATAGATATTTGAGTCATGACCCGCGGCGAAGTGGAAAGAGGTCATTTGGATCACTCGTTGGACCGGAACTTATTTTCTACCAAGACATGTCCGACGAGCGCCTAAGTAGAGCCCATGGAGACTTTGATGGATCAAGAGGCCCGAGTACCGCGCCCAAGGCCTTGGCTCATCTTGACACTAGCATAACTCAATCCAGAAGCTTCCATTGGCCTGAACGCGGCCCATTCAAGAACTTGGAGAGCAAGCTCAAGCGGCTAAAGAGAAATGGAAACTTTCCTCTTCTGCGCGCGCTCAACTTTGCCGACCTAGACCCGCTCTCTACCTATATATACTTGCTTTTAGCCTCTTGTAATAAGAATCACCAGCCGCATAACAAGAAACACTTATTCAATAAAGTTCGGAGCCACTTAGGTGGTCTCCTTCTTCTTTCTTTTCTTCTTTTGCATTTGTATATAGCTTGCATGTTTCAATTTATATAGTCTAGAAGTAGAGATTTCTCCCTAAGGGTGAGGCGTGGTTTAGTCATATTCCGCCGCCTCTCTCTCTAAGGATTCATGAGACTTCATCTACTATCTAAGACTCATTGTTGAATTATGGATCCTTCCAATGAGGACGTGATATAATGGCCATCGAAAATCGATTGTTAAAAGGGGAAACCCTATGGTTCTCCATCTTTATTTATGCTTAATGCTGTTGCTAGAGTAGCTAACTAGTGACTTGATTTTAGGTTGATATACTCTCCAAAAGCTTGTTATATCTCCGGATATAGTATTTGATGGGCAAATCGTTTTAGGCTACGAAAGTAGACCTAAAGAGTTTTGTGAACAATCATTACTTGGATGTAATGCATGTCTCACTCTACAATGACCAACGAAAGCTGAGCCCATTGGTTTAAGAGACATAGGGGATTGGAACCACGAAAGTGGAATAATCCTTCCTTAGTGTTTTGAGTTCAAAAGAATCGGATTTTAACAAACTTTTCAATCGACTTGGCTCATGTTTTCAAAAGAGTTTTCAATAGTTCAATAATGTTGCTTGTATAGAATTGCATTGTTATTTCTTTTGCGTGTTCTAAACAAACACAAACCCTTGCATCTTTTGATTTAGCTTAGATCATTTAAACTCTATGATTATGTAATGTGTGAAATCCAATCCCTTGTGGTTCGACCCCTAAATACTACAATTATATGTTGTGCACTTGCAACACTAGTTGTCTTAGGGAATTATTACTTGTACTCATCCCATAGATGCCGCATCAGTAGCCTTAAGGATTGTCCAAAAGAGAGAGATTTCTAGATTAAGAACATAAATAAGAAGGATTAAGCATAAAGATCCCCTAATCTAGCCCATCTGAAACCTTAAATGGAACTACTCACTACACATGAATGAAAACTCAATCAAATGCAATGAAGAAGACATTAAAAGATAGATAAGATAAAGATGGACAACTTTTATTGAAATAGCAAAGTGCAAATACAAAGCAAATAAACCAAGATCTAGGGTTCTATGAGCATGACGCTCAAGAACACAAAGAGAGGTTTAGGGTTGCTAAAAAGTAAAAGACAATAAATTAAAGATAAGCTAAAAGTTGTTGATTTTTCGTGGCTTAGAGCCTTTAAATACAAAGGAGATTAGGTTTAGGGTCAAAGGGAAGTCAAGGGGGAAGCAACAATTTTCGGGTTTGACTGTTGACTTCTCAGCTCGATCGAGTTGAAGCTTGGCCGGTCGAGTAGGTGGTCGAGCTGGTCTTCAAGATGACTTCCTCCTTCGTCCTTTGTGTGTCCAGTTGAGCTGCGTCCATGCACCGAGTCCTTCCTTGCTCCTCACGTCTCAAATGCTCCAAAGTGCTCCAAAAGACCTATTTCAAGGACCAAACATGCACATGTATGCAAATGCAACCTAAAACTACTATGAATGCAAAAGAAAGGAAAACGAACAAGATATGATGCTAATGGATGCTAAAACTATGCAAAAGATGCACAAAAGATGTACTAAAACTATGTAAAATGCAAGTACATCAGATGCATGTCAAGTTGCGATTTCATATTACTTTGTGTTTGATGGGTTTCTGTTTCGAGGAAACATGTTGTGTATTCCAGACTGTAGTTTCCGCCTCCAGCTGATCCGTGAGTAACACAATGAAGGACATGTTGGTCGAGATCGTACTCTTCAGCTCTTGACCAATTCCTACTTCTGGCCTTATCTTAGATGTGATGTTGAACGCTACGTCTCGCGTTGTACTGTGTGCCAGAAATCTAAAGGTCATGCTAACAATGCTGGTCTCTATTTGCCACTACCTATTCCTACTCAACCGTGGACATATATTAGCATGGACTTCGTTCTTGGCTTACCTCGCACTTAACAAGGACATGATTCGATCTTTGTGATTGTTGATCGGTTTTCTAAAATGGCTAATTTTGTACCATGTAAGAAAACCACTGATGCGTTACAAGTTGCAGGCCTCTTTTTCCGAGAGATTTACCGTTTACACGGCCTTCCTATATCCATTGTTCCGGATAGAGATTCGAGATTCTTGGGCCATTTTTGGCGTTCGTTGTGGAGATTATTGAAGACTTCTTTGGACATGAGTTCTGCTTATCATCCCCAAACGGATGGGCAAACGGAGGTCACTTATCGTGCATTGAGAGATTTACTTCGCAGCTTGGTTGGTGATAACATACGAACATGGGATAAAGTGATTTCCCAAGCCAAGTTTGCTCATATTCATGTTGTGAATCGTAGTACTGGGTTGAGGCCTTTTCAAGTGATCTATGGAGTGCCGCCTCGTGCTCCTGTTGACTTATCTATGCCACCGGATAAGAATCGATTTCATGCTCGTGCTTGTGACACAGTCGAAGAGTTCACCGCATTACATCATCGGGTCAAAGCAAATTTGGAGAAAGCTGTAGAAAAGTATAAAGCAGCAGTGGATGTTCATCGCCGAGAGGTCCAACTTAATGTCGGAGATCTAGTTTGGGCTGTTTTGACAAAAGATCGTTTTCCACAGGGTCAATACAACAAGCTTAAACCTCGTAAGGTTGGTCCCCTTGAGATTCTCGAGAAGATTAATAGCAACGCTTATCGTCTCCGTCTTCCTCCTCACATGCATACGGCGGATGTCTTTAATGTCAAACATTTGCTTCCTTATCTACCTGAAGACGACATGGCGAATTCGGACTCGAATTATTCATCACCCCGGGCGACCTGATGTAGCGTATATTTGCTACACTTACGTATGCTGCACGTTTTTCCTTTTCTTCATGGTTTTCCATTTATTATAGAGTTTTACTTATTTCTTTAGCTACGAAGAGAATAGGGTTTAAGGTGTTTCTTCTCTTCTTTTATTATAAATAGCCAAGCTATGATTCATTGTAAGACAGCTTTTGATTTATAAAACTTAAGAGATCTTCTCTTTGGAAATCGATATCTCTTGCAATCTCTCTCGAGTTCAAGTAGATTCGTCTCCGAGTTCATTGATCCCGAAAGATTAATGACTTGGTGTTTACGCTACTTCGTTGCTGCAACACAATGTGATCGTTGTTTTTTCTTTTTTTTACTTCGTCGAGTTTCAGCGTATACTTAATCGTAGGCTTGATGACAATTATTTAGTCGGTGGGGTTTGTTGTATGGTTTAGGTCTTTTTGCTAAACTATTGTGCAATTTTATTGGTTACTTCACGATGTTGTGAATGCCTATCTGCTGTCCAGATCTTACTGGTGAGGTTGCTGGTGTTGGAAGATTTGATCCAGCTGCATGTCTTGGCAAGGAAAGTGGACATGAAAATAAGAGCATAATGTTTGACATTCATGATAAAAGGTTCATAGTTTATTTAAACATCGATATTTGGTATCAGTTGTTTTTGTGTACTTATGATTTTAATTTTATTCTGTACACCAAAATCAATGGTGTGCTTCTTCAGTGCGAGTTATCGGGTTCGATGGCTGCGAGTTTTGATGTTTGGAATCGTGTCAAGGGTGGTGTTGTTGTTTGCGTGATTTGGTGGGATATTGTTGATTATTATAAAGGTATTAATATTCCTAAAGTTTTTTTGTTATGATGACACAAGTGTTGCGATTAACATACTGACCAATAGCTATCAATTCTTTGACAGGTAAGACAATTATATGTGAGACTTTAACTACTCGTGTGATGCTCAATCGACCTTTTGAAGAAGTGGAGGAGTTTATGTCAAGGTTTGTAAGCAGTTTGTTGGTCCTTTATTTTTTGGTTATATGTTGGTTATTTTTGTTAATGATTGTTAAATTTTATAAAGGTTGGGAAGGAAGAGATCACGGAGATGTTCGTCGAGGAATGTGAAAGATGCATTATGCATATATTGGATTATTTGGCGCATTTGCTTTATGCTTGGATTTTTTTAATTATTAAACGAGTGTGTTTATTATATTCTTATGATATTGCGTAGTTTGTTAAATCTTATTTTGGCGGGACTCGGTTCGCAATGATATATTATTATGTTTCAATCTTATTGTGTCGTAATACGGAATACAAGGAACCAAAAAAAATGCCTTTGATACGATTTGGTGTAATGTGGTTTTGTTTTGTTTGACCTATGTCATTTTACGGGATTTGGTATTAAAGTCGTGTACCTCATATTAGTGTTAATATACTCTTTCCCATTTCGTTCGAAAAAGGTTTTCGTTGTTATATATGGTATATTGTATTATCAAAGGATAGATCTTCATAGATCATGTTTTTGATACTTCAATGCATAATTTATTAGATCGATTTCCAGTCGCGTTCTACCAAACAGAACATCTGATGGGGGATCAGGTTTTACCTATTCCTATCCCTGATTCTGCAAGTGCACAGGTCAGAAGTAGTAATAGGTTATCGAACACAAGGAGCATAAGTATACTACGAGTATTGCAAGTCTAATTTAGCTAGATAACAAAGTATGATTTGGGGTTTTGTTGGTTTTTAAGTGACTAAGGAAGTAAGCAAGTAATTTAAACGGTTTAGGAAATCAATAAGGACGAAACTCTAGGCGATGAGAAACTCGCGGAGATTCAAGGTTGACAAGATGATAGAAAGGTTCACTAGGGTTTTTGCGCGCTATCTATTTTATTGTATTTTATTATGTAAAAACGTGTAAGAGCTCTATATAAGCTCATTCATATCATTTGTAAAGAAACAGACTTGAATAATGAATTAAGATTAAGAGTTGTCTCTTGTTAAGCTTTATGCTTATTTTCGGAATTTCTAAAGAGAGTTTGTGAGATGCATTTCTCTTGAGAGTTCTTTGCTGTATCAGAGACCCTTCCATAATCTCTGTGGTGCCATCGATCCACCTTCGACATCCCCTTTTCGTTCATACAAGAGAGAGCGTGATAGCCAGCTTGTTGAACACCGCCTCGATTCAAGTCTTGTGGAATCAAGCCTTGTCTTACCATCCTCATCCACTGATCTAAAGGAGAGAGCGTTAAAGCCAGCCTCTAGATCCCATCTTCCCATCACGATCCAACAGATCTAAGTCTCACCACCGACTCTTAAGGCAGATGATGTAAGATTGGAATCCACCAAATCTTATTACACAAGGATTCAGAAGCAACAGGCGGAATGACTGATGTATGAAGGTAGAGATGAGGTGAAAGGATGCTGATTGATTCCACAAGCAGCACTTGAGCAAGACAACTTGATTCCACAAGCTATCTGGTCAAGATGGATCGAAGGCAACACAGAGATTATGAGGGGATCTCTGATACAGCAAGACACTCAGTCTTATGTGAATCTCACACACTAAGAACGGAGCAAAGGTTTCTCTCAAGACAATGCTTGAACAAGAACAAACTCAACTTTATTAAAATGTATATTCAAGGGTGGGTTTACAATGAAAACGAAACAGAGCTTATATAGGCTCTAGTACAACGGTCTAAAGCTAAAACAAGTAAAGAAATCGCAGCAATGAATGAACAATAGAGCCGTTGGAAGCTTGATGACAAAATCGGACCAAATAAGGAAAGTTGGAGGCTCCTTGTATCTTGATATCGTGGGCGTGAAGGAGTGGAACCTTGGGACGTCTAGGTACAGTGAATGAGTCTTCAAAACGCAGCAGCAAAGTAGAAAGAGCCGTTGGAGAGATATTCCTCCAAGTGTGAATGCATCCAGAAAAGAAAAGTTCACAAACAATGGGATCCGCCTGATCCTGTGGATTCTGGTGCACGGGAAGCTGCTGTAAGGCCCTCCTGGACGGTTAGATGTGCCTCCTGAATGTATAGATGTATCTCCTGGTGGCCAAAGTCGAGTTTGTAAGTGATCAAACCCGTGAGCTCCCAAATAAGGCAAGTTGAGCATCACCTGGTTTAGAAGTTGAATAACTTCTAAACCAAAACCGGTATTGGAACGAATCCAATTCGAAGATATCCCTGATTGCCTCATAATTCCAGAACATGCCGGTTTGTAGCTTAAGTCCTTCTGGTTTGCTCGGAATCCTCCAAATAGCACGCCTTGGTCCAAATCGGGAAATTTCCGGTTTACCCGAATTGTAAATTCAGTAACTCTTGAACCAAATTGAATTTGACCGCGAATCCAATTTTCCATCTTCCTCTGATGAGTTGAGAATCCAAAACAATTGGGTTTGTATTTTGGATCCTTCTGTTTCGACCGGAATAATTCGAGGAGTGGACCTATCTCCCCTGCGGATCCATTGAAGATCTTCCAGAATGTATCTTCAATATCTTCTTCATCTAGAATCCCTTTGAGTTGATTCTTCTTCGAGGTGAACTCTGTATGAGTTGAGTATGTTCTCCAAGTGTTGGTTGAGCTTGTATGTTTGATGTCGTCCTCTACTTGAGCTAGACATAGCTTGCTTGTCTCCTTAGCTCTCCTCAGGTTCATGCTCTCCTCCTCTGGGCTCTGGATTCCGTGCTCCTCAGCTGATGACGACTTGATGTCCTCATCATACTCTCCCTCTTGAAAAGGTTTCGACCTCGAAACTATAGCTCCTGCACCAAGAGAAAGCAAGTTAGTTTTCATTCGATTTTTGGAGTTTTGAACCTTACCTTGGTGTTTCTGCTCCTTGGGGATGTGTGGGACGTCAGGGGGTTCTCCTTTGAGCAAGTATGATAGGATCACTCCTTGATCGGCTAGCTCCTTTTTCGTTCCTTGACCTGTATCAATATCCTTTGGCAAAGACAAGTGTATCATGCTAGTATTGAGAATATTAATATCAGATTTATTAAAAATATCACTCTCTTTAGCAGCATCAATTTTAGGTTCTAGAGCTTTTGCTCTGAAAAGTCTTTTGGTTGGGCATGTCTTAGCCATGTGACCTATGCCTTGACATCTATAACATATTAGTTCAGGTAAATTGAAAGGGTTAGAAGACTTACCTGGGTCAGGCGGCTCAAGCTCTAGGGAACTTAGTTTGGGTGAAGTCTCCTCTTCAGGTTCAGCTCGCCTACTTTGCTCTCCCTTAGGTTCTGTACCTGTTTCAACACTTTTGGAAAGAGACAAGTGCATCATACCAGCCATGGGATATTGGTAAACATGTGGAGATAATTTAGCTTGATCGTTTTCAGTGTTAGAGGCTAAAACAATTTCTTGTTTATGATTCACTTGTTTATCACAACAACTAGTTTGATCTTTCTCAACCTTGGTGGTCTTATATAAGTGTACAAATTTATCAAAGAGCTGTTCAATTTTTCGAAAACTCTCAAAAATACTTACCTCTGCCTGGTCAGGTTGAATTCCTCTCTTCTCATTCACTTGAGCAATAGGTTTTTGGTAACATGAACTTGCAAGGGATGCAGCTCCTTTTCTTTGGAATTCCTTGGCAGTATATCCCCTGTCTTTACACTTATAGCTCGTCAAATCTAAAGATTTGTTAGGAACATAATGCTTACCTTGGCCTCTAAGACTTTCTGGTCGAGCTGGTTTAGCTCCTTTGGGGTTGAGGAAACATCTTGAAACTCCTTGTGCATACTTATTCCGCAGCACGACTTTAAGCTCTCCCCAAGTAGAGATGGTTGGCTCTTTGTAAAACCAGCGATCATCTTCTTCTTGCAACCACCATTGATAAGCACTTCCTTTGAGTTGGCCAATTGCATAACCTAATCTCTGCTCCTTAAGGATGCGGTTATAGTATAGCCACTCATCTAAATTTCTTTCCCACTCTAAGTAATTACTCTTTCCTGAAAATGCATAAAGTTCAAGTTCATTAGTAGAATGATAACTAGAGTTAGAGTGAACCTTATGTTTGGCGACGTGAGAGGGTTTGAATGGACTGCTCAAGACAGTTCTCAGTGCACTGTAAGGCTGTGTAGTGTTCAGCTCTTCACAACTTCCAGGTTGCTCATATTCTCCTTGAGAGCTATCATCTTTTGTCCAAGACTCTTCTCTAGTGTCCTCCTCCTCATGGTGTTTCTCTCCCCATGCGGCTTCTTCTTCTTCATACCACCTCCTCTGGCTTGAACTGCAGTGAACAAATTCTGGTGGTTCAGGCTCAGGTTCTTCTCTGCCTGGTTCTTGACCATAGTCGTCAAGACCTTCATCAACACCTTCCTCGGGCCATGAGTCTTCCATGTGAGATCCATCTTCTTCACTCATGCTCTGGTCTGAATCAATTACTTGATCCCAACTATCTTCTTCCTCTGCCATGATACTTCCTGGTATCTTGTTTGACCTTGCACTCAACAAAAACAACAAGAAGATCAAAGATACCACAGAATTTTAAGAAGATAATTCTCAGCAGATTAAGCTAGCTAATCAAACAATCAAGTGTAAACACAGATTGAATTAATTCACCAACTCAATTAACAACAACTCTAACAAACTCTTTTCTTTTGATTTTCGGTTTTAATGGAACAAACAAAAGCAAACTATCAATTTATGCAAAATAAAATGAAGTAGAACAGAAACAAATCAAGTGCAGAAACAGCAATGATGCAACAATTAACTAGATGAACATTCTTAATATTTTTTTGTTTTTGATTTATATGAATGATGCAAGCAGAAACAGATTGAAGCAATATGAACTAGCAAACACAAGAACTCTTTATGATTTTTGTTTTATCAAATGGAAATAGCAACAGAAACAAAGTACTAAGCAAAGAGAAACAATTTTTATGGGTTTTCTTATATCATGCAAAACAAAAACGAAAATCAGAAACAAATAACAAAAAGATAGAGGGATAGAAAACCAAAGGCAGAACCTTTGGCTCTGATACCAGATGATGTAAGATTGGAATCCACCAAATCTTATTACACAAGGATTCAGAAGCAACAGGCGGAATGACTGATGGATGAAGGTAGAGATGAGGTGAAAGGATGCTGATTGATTCCACAAGCAGCACTTGAGCAAGACAACTTGATTCCACAAGCGATCTGGTCAAGATGGATCGAAGGCACCACAGAGATTATGAGGGGATCTCTGATACAGCAAGACACTCAGTCTTCTGTGAATCTCACACACTAAGAACGGAGCAAAGGTTTCTCTCAAGACAATGCTTGAACAAGAACAAACTCAACTTTTTTAAAATGTATATTCAAGGGTGGGTTTACAATGAAAACGAAACAGAGCTTATATAGGCTCTAGTACAACGGTCTAAAGCTAAAACAAGTAAAGAAATCGCAGCAATGAATGAACAATAGAGCCGTTGGAAGCTTGATGACAAAATCGGACCAAATAAGGAAAGTTGGAGGCTCCTTGTATCTTGATATCTTGGGCGTGAAGGAGTGGAACCTTGGGACGTCTAGGTTCAGTGAATGAGTCTTCAAAACGCAGCAGCAAAGTAGAAAGAGCCGTTGGAGAGATATTCCTCCAAGTGTGAATGCATCCAGAAAAGGAAAGTTCACAAACAATGGGATCCGCCTGATCCTGTGGATTCTGGTGCACGGGAAGCTGCTGTAAGGCCCTCCTGGACGGTTAGATGTGCCTCCTGAATGTATAGATGTATCTCCTGGTCGCCAAAGTCGAGTTTGTAAGTGATCAAACCCGTGAGCTCCCAAATAAGGCAAGTTGAGCATCACCAGGTTTAGAAGTTGAATAACTTCTAAACCAAAACCGGTATTGGAACGAATCCAATTCGACGATATCCCTGATTGCCTCATAATTCCAGAACATACCGGTTTGTAGCTTAAGTCCTTCTGGTTTGCTCGGAATCCTCCAAATAGCACGCCTTGGTCCAAATCGGGAAAGCTCCGGTTTACCCGATTTGTAAATTCAATAACTCTTGAACCAAATTGAATTTGACCGCGAATCCAATTTTCCGTCTTCCTCTGATGAGTTAAGAATCCAAAACAATTGGGTTTGTATTTTGGATCCTTCTGTTTCGACGGGAATAATTCGAGGAGTGGACCTATCTCCCCTGCGGATCCATTGAAGACCTTCCAGAATGTATCTTCAATATCTTCTTCATCTAGAATCCCTTTGAGTTGATTCTTCTTCGAGGTGAACTCTGTATGAGTTGAGTATGTTCTCCAAGTGTTGGTTGAGCTTGTATGTTTGATGTCGTCCTCTACTTGAGCTAGACATAGCTTGCTTGTCTCCTTAGCTCTCCTCAGGTTCATGCTCTCCTCCTCTGGGCTCTGGATTCCGTGCTCTTCAGCTGATGACGACTTGATGTCCTCATCATACTCTCCCTCTTCAAAAGGTTTTGTTCTCAAAACCAAAACATTGGATTTGTGACTATGATGCTCATTTGATGGCTCCATAATTCCAGCACACATTGCCTTTGCCTCATCAAAATTTAACAACTTGATCACCGAAAACAAATCTTTCTGAAAAGCCATCTTTTTCCTTTTTTTTTTTGTAATAAGGAAAACAAAAACGAAATGAAAACTTTTTGTATTTATAGTCCTAGGTCTTCAGAGGCGGCATTAGGTTAAGTCGGACAGTGAAAACGTGTGAAACGGGCTTCGGGTCGACCGGACCATTCGGACGGTCGGTCGGGACGTTAGGACGGCTATAGGGTCATGATCGGCCATCGGTACGATCGTGGCCGATGGATTTCTCGTTCGTTCGTCGGGTTCGGCCGGGCGGATGCTATTGGCTTGAATGTTCTGGTCGGACGGTGTGATCGTGTACGGGACACGGATTGTGTTGCGCGATCGGGACGAACAAGGGGCGATGCCTTCCTGTTCTCGAGGTGTGGTCGTGCGCGGCTTATGGTGGCGAGACTTGGATAGGTCGACCCTGGGCTATTGCTTCCCAGGTCGGTATGCGTGCTCGGCCGTGCACTAGGCAGGACGGATTGAAGTTCGGACGCAGGTCGACCGTGGGAAGATAATTCCTCGGTCAGCCGGTGCGCGCGGTTTTGGGCCTTGCTGCGCGGTTTAAGCCGTCTGGACCAGTCTTCACTAATATGATCATAACTTCATTTCTACTCATCCAAATGATATCAATCCACTTGTGTTGGAGAGTTAACTCACTCATGACACGCAGGGAATCAGTCTTGATGAAATCCATTGAGTAGATTATGTTTCAGGCCTTCTCAAAGTTGATATGGTGTTGGAGCGGGTTGAAGTGCAAATCCTGCGGTTTTGCTCCAAAATGCATCATTTCACCTGTTTAGACTCTTAGTACTATAAATCCAATAAAACTACATTTTTATTGACATCCTCTGTCTGAGTAGTCTGCCTGTCCTTTGTTTTGGTTTTAGCTAACACAGGCATGACCTCCATGCCTGCTTGGCGCTTACTAAAACGGGTTCCAGTTTTACCCATCATTGTTCACCTGAAACATACATAACCAATTTTATCAGAACCAAAAGAAACTTAATCCATTACTAAGACTCCTTCACAATCATCTCTAGCACATAAACTCTCATCATCATCTGACTCATTTTCTGCATCCTCAAATTCCTGAACTGATAATGGGGCAGATATGAATTCTTCTTCTGTCTATAGCTCGTGATAACCTCTTGGTGGCGTCCTCATAACTACGTACCAAGGAGAGGTGTCATCCTCTCTAGAGTAGAAAACTTGTTTAGCTTGTGATGCAAGGATATATGGATCTTGGAGAAATGCTGACTGATTCATATATAGGTTAACTAAAGTAAACGCCTCCTCCTCTTTCACTCCATTCCCTTTGTTGGCCCAAACACATCTAAATAGAGGAACCTGGAACATGTGGTAGTCTAACAGTATGATCTCCTTCACAACTCCATAGAAAGTTACTATATCTGCGGTGTGTCTAGAATCTCGAGCACTAGACCTACACATGGAGAATGCTTCATATGTTACCCCACTGTTCTGAGTCTTCCGCTTGACATCGTCTATATGGAACCGATGTCCATTGATAATGTAACCCTTATAGGTCTGTGCAATATGTCTTGGTCCAAAACCAAGCCATCTCAGCCTCGTTGAATGATCCTTTGAATTAGTGGGTATATGACATGAAAATGATGCATATTCATTAGTACAAGTACAAGAAATTAGTCAGTAACCACAACTGCATTAGTTTCTTCGTACTTGTTACCTTGTCTCTTATCCACTTTGCAAATTTTTTCGTTGTGATATTTCCACAAAACAGTTTCGTATTTAGCACATTTAGCGTCTGTATTCTGAAGTTCTTCCAAATGGAGCCTGATTGAAGAAAAATTTAGAGTATGTACACAAACACATAGTAGTTGTAAGAGGCAGAGTAGAGGTACTTACTCGACATAAGGATCCATAACTGCTGTGTTCATTAGAATATACCGATGTGCTATGTCACGCTCTTTATCAGTAAGTGTAACTTGAGTAGCCTTCTGCAGAGGACGGCCTTCAAGCGCGAGTTGATCTGAGTCAATGTCTTCATTACGGTTTACTACGTCTTGAACTGGCAAAGAGTTTTGTAGAAACTCTAGGCAAAACGCAAGGCATTCTCCAGCTAAATATCCCTCTGCCATACACGCCTCTGGCCTTGCAAAATTTTTAACATATGCCTTGAGTGTTTTCATGTACCTACAAACTCAGACAAAGAACACATTAGTTATTGATTGCTTCCACCACAAACAAAACTCAAAGTACATAAGAACTTCATAATACCTTTCAAAGGGATACATCCAACGAAAGTGTACTGGTCCACCTAATCTTGCTTCTCTTGACATATGCAGTGGCAAGTGGAACATAATATCGAAGAGAGAAGGAGGAAAAAATCTCTCTAGTACGCACAAAGTCTCCACAATTTCAGAATCCAAGGCTAGCAACATCTCTGGGTCCAGAACACGCTGACATAATCTATTGAAGTAATTACATAGTCGACTTACTGCAATCCTCGGTCCTTTATGCAGTAATCCTCTCAATGCCACATGAAACAAGTTCTGAATAAGCACATGATGGTCATGCGACTTCATATTACCAATTGCAGGAGGCTCTACTGAAACGCAATTACCAACATTCGCACAGTACCCATCAGGACCTCTGAACTTAGACAATCTCCTACAGAATCTAATTTTCTCAGCCTTTGATAACCAATATGACGCTGGAGGCAAATATGTTTTCTTCCCACGAACCTCAGAGTGTAAGGTTCTTCTAATCCCCATATCTTCTAAATCCTTCCTTGCTTTCAAACCATCCTTTGATTTAGCATTATGCATCAGAATAGAAAGTAATGCATCAGAGACTTTCTTCTCCACATGCATTACATCTATGTTATGGCGCACTGGCATATCCTACAACATATACAACATATTAGAGAATTTGTTATTATAAAAACTTCTCATAAGCAATCGCAAAAGAAAATATTGTAAGTATTATTGCACATACTTACAATAGATCAGATTCCTCCCCAAGTTCTTCTTCTTGTTGAATCTCCTCATCGTTGCTTATCTCTGCTCTTTTTCTCTTACTTTTCTTACTCAGAGGAATCCCAAAATCATTATTGAAGTCTTTCAACATTTCATGTATCTGAACTCCACTTTGGATCCTATTTGCAGAACCAGTCTCAACCGTATTGTCAAACCAGCTTCTTCTGCGTCTGAGAGGATGACCAGGCTGTAGTCTTTTCCTATTGCTCATATACATGTGTTTCCTACTAAACTTCAACCACCTATGTGGTGTATCTTTCCCACATACATTACAGGCTTGTTTTCCTTTCACCTTGCATCCAGCCAATGTTCCTAAGGCGGGATAAACAGTGATGCTCCACAACAACATAGCTTTAAGTGTAAATCTCTCTTTCAAAAATGCATCATAAACTTCCATACCTTCATTCCATAAATCTTTGAGATCGTCTATCAGTGGCTGTAAGTAGACGTCTATGTTATTGCTTGGTGCTGTTGGTCCGGGAATCAACATAGTCAGCATCATATTCTCCGCCTTCATACATTTCGTTGGAGCCATATTGTAATTCACAAGCAAAACCGGCCATGTACTGTACTTGGTGTTCTGAATGGAGAAAGGATTCATCCCATCAGTAGAGAGACCTAGTCTCAGGTTTCTCGCTTCATCTGCAAACTCTGGCCATTTGTCGTTCACTTGAACCCAAGTCAATGAGTCAACAGGATGCCTCATTGTACCATCTTCAGTAGCATTAGTGAAATGCCAACGCAACTCCTCAGCTAATCGTTTCGACCTATACATCCTTTTAAATCTGTCTTTGATGGGAAAATACCTTAAGAATTTTGCAGGGATCCCTTTTTTCTCCTCACCAGTGTTCTTGTCTCTTTCCCATCTTGGACCCTTACACCTCGGACAACTGACCAGATCCTCATACTCTTTCCGAAAAAGGATGCAGTCATTCTTGCAGGCATGAATGAGATCATAACCAAAACCAAAAACCTTCAAGAACTTCTTCATCTCATCAGTCGACTTAGGAAGCACGTTGTTCTCAGGTAGCATGTCATGAACTAGCATCAGAAGCTGGTCGAAGAAGTTCTCTGACATACCACTCTTCACTTTGATGCGGTAAAGTCCCATAAGTGCAGAAACCTTCGTGTAGTTGAGACACGACGGATAAAGTGGAGTTTCAGCGTCCTCCAACTTTTTCCTAAACTCAGATTCTTCGCCATTGTCATCACATCCAGACTGGTCTCCATTCTGACCCGTAGACAAAGCTTCATTACATTCACTCGCTAAAAATGCAGTCCTTATCAAGTTGTATGCATCAGATTCACTTGTCTGAAGCTCAATGCCTTGTCTGCCCTTATATCTCCATGCTTACTCCAACATTTATTCCTTTTATACTTCTGATCCATACCCTTTATGACCAGATGATCCAACACTGTCCCATTCGGTTGATGGCAAACATTCCGGCAATCAATACAGGGACAGAACATGTGAGCAACATTACCCAGTTTCCTTGCTGAGTCATACACAAATGTAGTTGCCCCTTGTTCATACTCAAGACTAGCCCTGGAAATTCATTTCGAAATAAAATGTCCAGTTATCACCAATATGTAATTAAAGAGTAGCAGAAGATGTAAGAACATAGACATACGAAAAACTCATACCTTGGCAACCAGACCCAAGCTTTATCCATGGTTCAAGAGCAAGTACAAGAGCTCACAAAGAAATGAACATACAAAATTTCAAACATACATTCACATTAATCCACGTTAATTTCGCAGAACAACAGTGTAAACTGAGAAGTAAATCTTAGTTATTAATATACCTGACAAGTGTTGAGTTCAAACTTCTCTCCTGATTTCGAAGAAGAAAAGACAAGAAATAGAACAAATTAATCGATTTGAATCAGGCAAACATTAATCAGAAATCGGGAAATGAAAACCAAATATGTAGAGAAACACTTGAATAATACCTATAAGTCAAGCAGTCTAGATTAAACGAACCTTCCTGCAAAACAACTAACAACTGGTATCTCAATTCATCATGCTTAAACTCTGATTCAGTACAAATAACACATGCTTAAATATATACAAATATCACCTTCGATTTATGGGAATCACACAGGGTTTCTACGCCTGGGCCGCCGGAAAGTAGAATGGTGACTGAGAAATTGAAAGATGGTGTGATTGATCGAACGAATACAGAGATTCTGTAGAACGATAATGAGAGATCGAATACAATATGGGTTTCGGTTGAATGAGAGAGGGTATGAGAATCAAAGCAGCAATTGCCGTGGTTTCTGAAAAATTGAATCGAATCTTGCGTAGATTGTATGAACCCTAATTTTAGATGGAAAGGGGGAAAAGAGAAAGTAATCCTCAGATAAGTGTTAGTCGTTTCGGGGCTTAATTTTCACTAAGTGTGGAGGGAAAAAAAATGTATTTTTCCGCCTAACCATAAAATAGCGTTTTCAATATAAGTCTGCTATAACAGACTAATAAGTCACACATAAATGATGCGGCAAAATAAATTTTGTCATGTGCCACTATATCGTAGCGTTTACAATAAAATAAACGCTATTGAAAAAAACGAGTCAGTCAAACATAGCACAATTGTGAAAAACGCTATATTCGTCTGCTATTAAAGCCCAATATTCTTGTAGTGTTTTTATGTTTCTTTTCTTCTTTACAGAGTTTTGATTGAAATCGGATGAATTATTCCGCTTATATATGATTTTCTTTTTAGGGTTGCGTTTATGTGGACGGTTGCATTTAATCATGGATTCTTAAATATTTCCTGAAGATTTTCTGAAGATTAAATATTTTCCTGTGATAATTCACTGAATATACGGATATTTTCAGAAAAGGAGTATTCATTAAGTTGCGGTTGCTACGTAACCGGCCAGGGAATCATTACATATTCGAATAGATGTATGTCAGTCGATATTAAGATAAGTTCTCATATGTAAACTTTGTTTTTATACATATGTAAACTTTGTTTTTATATTATTGATTTAGTTATGATGGTTGTCATTTATTACATTTTTTACAGTTGAACATTGTGTAGGAATCATTTGTGAAGAGGATTGAAAAGGAAACATTGTTCTTCAATATAAAAGAACTATGATGCAAAATATACTAAGGTAAATGTTTGTTGTTTTTCAATCCTTTGCAATCCGTGTTTTCCTGTTTGTTTCATTTTTAGTTGTGACCTATTGTTATGTTATTAGAAAAGGCTATGAACAAATTAAATCAAACATAGTTAAATAGAAGCCAGAAAAGTTTACAAAGGTTCCCAAACATGAAACAAAGGTTTAATATATAGTTGTCTTAGATAAGTTGCATAAAGAAAAGTAGACGACATGCATGATCTTAAAATATCTTCCGACATTTTGCTTGAGCATATCCTGAAGTCCATCAACTTTTGTTGTCGGTTCTACAGCCATTGAAATAATCAAATTCCATTTCTTCAACTTCTTCTTTGCTGCTGTCTTGTGAGGAAGAGCACCTGCATAGACACATTAGTTTTATTAAGCTGTAATACTCAAGTTTTAAGCCTTTTCATAATTCTTGTTATCAGAGAGAGTCATAGGTAGAATACTTACATTATCTCAGTGAAATGGTCAACCTCATCAAAGCCAATAGGATTGAATTCAAATCTAGAGATTCCTTCTTCACTTTCGATATGAGCAGGATCTACACATATAAGTTATAACATCCCATCAAGATAAATAAGATAAATAAATTAGTATTATTCAAGCAAGGATGTAACTGGAAATTTCATACACTAACCGGCATCTTCAAGAACCCGCCAATCGGTTAAGAGGCATACGATGGTCTCAATTTTACCATAGTAAAGCCAAAACCGTTTAAACTTAGATGCTAAGGCACCCTTTACACGACACTGTATTTGATCCCCACTAAAGTAGCCACAAATAGTGTATGTATTTCAGGTTAGAATTCAGAAACGATACATAACTTATTCCAATTTAGTTTTGTGTAAATATACTTACTCGTTGTCCTGTAGGGTGAAATCTATTGTGTTAGTGGTCTTTGGATCATCGTTTAAAGGGTTCCTAGGAATAGAGACATCTTCCCTGAGCATTGTCTCACGAACTTCAAGTATAAACCCTAGAAAGTCTACAAAAAAATGCCAAATAACATTAACATATTGAAAGCTACATTTCCTATAGGGTTCCTCGTTTAGATGATACAAAATGTTAAGTAAGAAAAACTAACCTCTAGGGAAAGAAGTTCGTTCATCATTCCAAAAATTCGAAACATAGTCGTAAGGAACGATGTCAAGCGGAATCCAAGCATCCGAGTCCTCTGCGGGTGTGACGCTGGTGTTGGACGTGAGAGCAATCTTGTTTCTGGCTTCCGTCAAACGGATCTCTGTATTCACCATCACCACGGAAAATCCGGTTAGAATCTTCCACTCCCCTTCATGAAGACATCTCTTGAACCTTTTCCTCTGATTACTTTGTTCAACAAAAGCATGCATCTTTGTGCCCTGTTAGAGTTGTAAACTTCAATTAGGAACATGATTTTGGAACATAAAGAACTTGTATATGAGAAAATATGAATATGAATAGATTGAGAACAAACCGTTTCATCCACAAAAAGAAAGCTTAGACCTTCACCAACATCTGCCTCCAAGGTATCCCACATCTTTTCAACTCTAACCAAAACCCTCCAATCAGAACGATTAGGTGTCAAGACGTTGAGTCTGGTGAAGTTTGCCATTGAAGATATTTTCTAGATATGGAGTTCTTAGTTTTCTTCTCTGGAACATAAGTTCGGAGAACACTCTCCTTATATAGGGAAAAAATTAGGGTTGTCTTTGATTGAGACGGTTGATATTATTAAACGACGCAATGGTC